CAGCAAAGAGGCTCCTCCAAAAATCTAATTCTTGGCTGCCATCTGGTGGCTGTCTGAAACTTTACAGCTGTGATTTGAGAGCCTCTTAGGACACACCCCCCCCCCACGAGGGAACCCGGAGTATCCATTGGGCCAATCCCAAATCCCCGCAGAGATTCCAGATAATTTTTGAGACAGCCAGTCTCTGAGCTGCCCATCAATTGCTTCGTGGGGAGGGAGGGTAAAAACCGAGAAGGGGGAGAACAACTGGCCACCTCGTGGCTCTCCTAACCTCCTTCTAACTGGAGAAACAGTACAATTGTTGGATGTTTCTCTGGTTGCTGGGAATTCACGTTGGCTGTGTTTGCGGACCGATACATTTGCATGATTTGTGTGAAAAGCCTGTGCAAAAAAACCCCGAAGTAAATCTTCCAAGACTTATTGGAGGCTGCCCCAATTTGGGAACAGTCCTTCATCTGCTGGATGCTGGGTCCTTCCCCCCCCCAAACACACACACAACACACACACAAACTTTTTTTCTTTCTTTCTTTCTCTCCAATCAGAAAATCAGAAGGGTGGATGCCACAGGTTTTAGCACAGGGATTTGGTTGGGCTGGCACGCACTTGGGAGTGCGAGGAAGGGAGGGGTGGAAAGGAAGAGAATTGGAAGCCGGGGACCAAAAATAACAACACGGATGGCCGATGGAGAGGAAGCAGAGTCTGTACGTTGACAGTCAAAAGACCCTGTGAAACAACAGAGAATGGAAGGGAACAGCAGAGGGTGTGTGTGTGTGAGGGTGTGAGTGATTACAGTAGTATTATTCTTACAATTGTCACATTTGGTGTTCAGGTTTTGCCCAGCCTGTTGGCTTTAGCTGGGGAGGGGGTCCACAGAAAAAAAAAGGGGGGCTGGGGGAGTGGAGGGTTTGGAGACTCAAGCCAAGCTGGGGAAGAAGTGAATTTGAGGATGGGGTCAACCATATGGTGGGAAGAAGGCCAGAGAGCAGGAAGGCAGGGCAAAGGTCATCTATCCCCCCTCCCACTCCCACCCACCCTGAGGGAGGAAAGATCCGGGTGTTGACGAGAGGCAGGCAAGATGGGCGGCTGCATAAATTCTCCCCTTTTCTTTCCTTCCTTCCCCTGATTAATGAAAACAGGTTTAAGGTAAAGGTTCCCCTCGGACAGATGTGCCAGTCGTTCCTGACTCTAGGGGGCGATGGTGCTCATCTCCGTTTCAAAGACAAAGAGCCAGCGCTGTCCGAAGACGTCTCTGTGGTCATGTGGCCGGCATGACTCAACACTGAAGGCGCACGGAGTGCTGTTCCCTTCCCACCAAAGGTGGTTCCCATTTTTTCTACTTGAACTTTTGAGGTGCTTTTGAACTGCTAGGTTGGCAGAAGCTGGGAGAAGTCACGGGAGCTCACTCCGTTATGCGGCGCTGGGGATTCGAATCGCCGAACTGCTGACCTTTCTGATCAACAAGCTCAACGTTTGAGCCACTGCTTCCCTCTAAATGGGTTTAGCCGTAGGGATACCTGCCCACCTACCTCCTGGTTATAACACAGCTGTTATTTCGGCTGTTCCAAGGAGGCTCCATGCCCACGGGCTCCACTCGGGTGACCCTGAGGGCACAGATGAACCTCCGAGTACGAACGACCAGAGGACTGCGAGGAGTATCAACCCTTCCACTCCACCAGAACTGAAGAAGCTTCTTAGATGAGAAGCGAAAACTCTTCAAGGAAGAACAAACGTCCAGTTGCCGAAGGTGGTTCCCATTTTTTCTTCTTGCCTTTCTTTACGTCCTTTCGAACGGCTAGGTTGGCAGAAGCCGGGACAAGTCACGGGAGC